ACACTGTTAATGGAACTTCAAAAAAATCTAAATCAGAATAGTGAGCAGAGAACTAGAGATGGAGAAAGGAGACCTTTTTTTTTAGACTATGCATACTTCTTTTGTTTAAGGAAGGCAATTTTTTTCTTCTTTAAAAAAAATTCTCAGCAGAGGAGCCCTAGCCAGTTTGGCTCAGTGGAAAGAGCATCTACCTGCAGACTGAAAGGTCTTGGGTTTAATTCTGGTCAAAAGCACATGCCTGAGTTGCAGGCTTGATCTCCAGTAGGGGGTGTGCAGGAGGCAGCTGATCAATGATTCTCTCTCATTGTTGATGTTTCTATCTTTCTACCTCTCCCTTCCTTTCTGAAGTCAATAAAAAACAAAAACAAAAATCTCACCTGAGGATATTTTTTCAATTTATTTTTTATTTTTTATTTTTTAAAGACTGAGTGGATGGGAGGAAGGAAGGGGAGAGAAACATTGATGTGAGAGAGACACATAGATTGCCCCCCGCACATGTCCTGATTGGGTGGGATCGGGAATTGAACCAGAGACCCTTTGGTCCTTGGGCAGATACTCTAACCACCGAGCAACTGACCAGGGCGGAGGCAATTCTTAAAAGTGGGTTTTCACAGAATGCCTCTTTATTTATGTTTAAACGTACAAAGTGGTTTTTCCCTTAAGTAAATTCAGAGACTATAAGATGTCATGTTGAAATAAGTAAAAAACACTTTCCAAAGCCAAATGTAAACGATCGTTTACATGGTTGGAAGCTTTGGCTTTGATCTCCACTGCTTCCCACACTGATAACGATACTCCCCAGATGTCCAGCTTTCAGCTTCATCACGGAGCGCATGTGGGTTGATCCTTAAGTTACTCTGTTTTTGGAGGTGCGGCAGAATGGAACTAACGTAATCACACTGTATTCTGGCAACTCAAGCTCCTCCTTCATTCTCTTAGAGAAGAGGCCAAAACAGCTTTTGGAATGGATGCTTTACTTTTTAAAGATAATTGCTCTCTGAAGATATGAAACACCACTTAGACTACCCATTTCAAGGGCACTCAAAGGTCCTCTGTAGTCCCTGACTTTTTTTAAGCGAAGCATATATGAATATTGTAATGCACAGCACGCATCAGTAACCGAAAAGCACTTCCCACAAGCAAGATTGATTCTTCCAAGTGGTTTAGACCACTTACCAGGATGAAAACACTGCTTTTTTCAGTATTAATAATTAATACATGAAGGCCCATAAAGTAAACTTGAACGAGCCTGGTCATTTGAATTTTAATATATTTTAAAATTGTATTTTAAAGCTAGGAAATGTATCTTACTTCGCTGTGGTGACAGAATAGTGTGTGTGTGTGTGTGTGTGTATATATATATATATATATATATATATATATATATATATTAACATTTGAGTCAATTCTTTTCTATGGTAATTTAAAAAGCAGGGTCATAAATGAACCAATAGAATTTATTTTGAAAAGATTTGTCTTTTCAATTATATTTTATTAACACTAAAATTAGTTTTTAATTTCTGAGTATAAGTTGAGGCCAGTTCAGGAACAGTTTAGGTGTCAAGGAGAAGCAAGTCAGAGATGAATGGTGAATAGATTTGATATTAAAGTGATAACTCTAAAGACATTATGCTATAATCAACTTTAAGGAAATCTACATATGAGCACACAGCAAAATTTAAAACCTAATCTAATTTGCTTATAATAACCCACAAAAGCAGACTGCCGTTTTAAAAATGCTGTATGATTAGTAAAATCAATCCGAAGAAAAGATAGTCACCTATAGAAATAGAACAGTGTATGCCAGAGAAAGAAGCACCAAATGTGTTTTCATTCAAACTTGAATGAAGTCTTGAGTAATTTATTTTAGTATTTGAGGGCAGGGATTCTCATACTTTTTGGTATCAGGATGCTAATGTAACACATTTATTAAAAACATATTATATTTTCCAAAACAACAAATTAGTGAAGTGACATCTTCTCATAATTTTATTAATCTCTTTAGAAGAGAGCTGGGTTCTGCATCTACTCTGTGCTCCGCTGACTGTTGTGATATTTGTTTTGGTTGAGTATGATTTGTTGTTAATCCTCACCAGAGGTTATTTTTCCCCATTTTGCAACCTGAAGACAGTCAGGCAGCGGGTAAAATGCTAAATGCCCTTCACCAGGTGCATTCTAAAATTTATGGCACAGTCTCAGGCCAACCAGCACTTCTTCCTTTACTGTGACAGCTCGATGCCACACCACTTGCCCAGTTTCCCAGTTCCTTCAGTGAAAGATGACTGGGTCTGGAGATGAGAGAGGTAGGAGATGGCAGGAGAGGCTCCAGGTCTGAAGAAGCTGATCCAAACCAATGTGACAAACCAGCCTTAGATGTCTCCTTCAGTTTCCTAACTATTTCAGTAATTCTCATGCCAGGAAAGCATATCCCCATATGCAGTGTTCTCGTTCTCAAGGTACATTAGAGGCCTGGTGCATGACATTCGTGCACTGGGAGTGTAGGGGTCCCCCGACTCCCCAGCCCAGCCTGCACCCTCTTGCAGTTAAGGACACTTTGGGGGATGTCCACTGAAGGGTCTTTAGCGCTGGCTGAGCAGAGTTCTTCTTATGGAAGCGAACTAACCACTAGGGGATAGCTCCTGCATTGAGCATCTGCCCCCTGTGGTCAGCATAACCACCGGTTGTTCTGCTATTCGGTCAATTTGCATATTAGCCTTTTATTATATAGAAAAGTTTAGAATTTGGAAGACAGTGTGAAGTTTTAATTTATTAATTTTTAAAATAAAAAAGAGCCGAAGCCGGTTTGGCTCAGTAGTAGAGCGTTGGTCTGCGGACTGAAAGGTCCCATGTTCGATTCCAGTCAGGGGCATGTACCTTGGTTGCGGGCACATCCCCGGTAGGGGGTGTGCAGGAGGCAGCTGGTTGATGTTTCTCTCTCATCGACGTTTCTAGCTCTCTATCTCTCTCCCTTTCTCTCTGTTAAAAATCAATAAAAATATTTTTTAAAAAAGAAACTGTTACTGTATGGAAATTTTTAGTCTATGAGCTAAAACATGCCTAGTGTTTCTTCTCTGCTGCTGGAGTATTTCAGTGGAGGTTTGTGGAGCACCTGTCTACTTGCATCCTCCTTGAAGAGAGGAGAAGCTTTAAAACTCCACAGCATGCAGCTGGAGTGGTGTTTATCTCCACTCTTTAAGGACTCCTCCACTGTTGGCTATTGGCGGAATTTAACAGTGGTATTCTACTTTTTGTACTTGGAGATCTCATGATGGTTTCAACATCAGGCCAATTCTTTGGCTACAAGATAACCTTATATAAGCCACACATTCAAGTGAGAAACACCCAGGTTAAAAGAATGTTATTAGTTGTAATCTTTCTTTCTTAAAAATTACCTTGTCATGACTTCAAAACACCCTGGATAGACACCAAAGGTCTTTAGAATGGAAAATAAAATTTAATAATTATTTCCGGCTTGTAATAAGTCAGAGAAATGAGGATTTAAAATGTCCTAATTCTGATTTTCTATAGAAGTGTCAGGCCTCTCGGATTAAAACACTGGGTTGGGGGCCCACATAGATGGTCTGCCCTGGAAGGGGCAGGGTGGCCCAAATTCAGGAAACCCAGAGCACCTGGGAGTTCTGTGAGCCAGGGAGTCTGACCTTTTAATGTTTCATTTCGCTAAGACAATAATGTATGGAAAGGAATACAATCGGGACTCAAACACTAAGGGAGCCGGCTTCACGATGAGCAAATGAACGCTGCGGATGGGTGGGGGGAGCCAAGAGCCTGGGATGTGTCCCGAAGGCATGATTAGTTCCAAGTTTTTGCAGCGAAGGGCGTAGCTACAGCTGTATTTCCACTCCGCCCGCTCCTTGCTTGCTCCGCCACCCTTGCTTGCTTTCCCTCCCAGCTCGGAGCGATAAAACCCTGCTCCCTAAGCATGTTCTGAGCTCCCAGTTCTCTCTGCAGCCTGGTGTGAACGTTAATGGTTTGGTTTAGGGGGTTCACGACACAGAGGCCAGTCGGGGCTGGGGAGCGGCCTCAGCACCCCGACCTTCCCCCCCTTTTTCGGAGCCCGGGCTTTGGGGTGAGGCTGTGCTGGCCCGGAGCTCGCACCCGCGCCGCGAGGCAGAGCAGCCAGAAACCACAGCGCAGAGCCGGGCCCCATCGGGGCGCTCATCGCCCGCGGGCCGGAAGCCCGAGCCTCCCGCTCGGCGCGCCCACACCGGCCTTCGGGGCCGCAGCGGCGCCCCAGGCGGCGCCCGGGAGGGCCTCCGCCTCCCCAGCCCGCGGGAGACGGGGCAACGGCCGCCCCGCCGCGCCGGCTCCGCCCGCTGCGGGGGGCGGGGCCGCCCAGGCCCGAGGGGGCCGGGAGGTGCGGGCGCCGGGCCGCTCGGCCCGCCCCAGCCTCCGGGGACGGGGAGGGGCGAGAGGGGAGGGGCGGGGCGACGCACTCGGGCTGCGCGGCCCCGCGTGCGTGCGCGCGCGCTCCCCCAAGTCCCGCGGCGTTTAACACAAAGCCGACGCCGACGCCGTGCGCGACGCCCCGGCCGGCGCAGCGGCCCCGGCGCCAGGGGCGGGCGGCGGCCGGACTGGGAGCTGGAGGAGCGCGCGCGAGAGCCGGAGACAGCGCGAGACCCAGGAGGCCGGAAGCGCGCGTGCGCGCCCCCGCCCGCGGCCGGGAGGCGGAGCCGCGGCGGTAGCGGCAGCAGCTGTAGGAGCCGCTGCAGCTGGGAGAAGCGCCAGAGAGGCCGGGCCTGCTCCGGTCGGACCGGATCCCTCCCCTCCCCCCCTCCCGCTCCCCTCCCCCAAGCCCACTTCCGCAGCTCGCGGCCTGGCCGCCGAAGCAGCAGCGGCGGCGGCAGCAGGAGGCGGCGGCGGCGGGATTTACGCACCTGACAGGCCAGCCTCTCGGAGCTCCGGCGCGGGACGCTCACCGGCCGCCGCCCGCCGCCGCCAGGACGCACTTCGCGGTGGCGGCGGGAAGGGAGGGACCGGCGATGGGGAACGGAACGCGAATCGCCCCCTCCTCTTTCTCCCTCCCTCCCTCCCTCCTCCTCCCTCCCTCCCTCCGATCCGCCGCCCGCCCTCTCGGCTTCCGTCCCCTCCCCCTCCCGCAAAGCCCCGGATGGAGCCGCTGCCGCCGACTCGCCGCCGCCTGGCTCCGGGGGATGGTTTTGTCAGGCGGCCAGAGCCCGGCGCCAGGCGCGGCCGCCGCCGCCGCCGCCCCTGCCCGCCCTTCCCAGAACCGCGCTCCCGGGGGACCCGCGCCCTCCGCCTGCCTTCGCCCGGAGCCGGGCCGGGGCCATTCGCCGCCTTTGTTGCCACCGTCTCCGCCGGAACCGTTTGCGAGCCCGGTGCCCCCTCCCGCCCCCGCCCCTCCGCCTTCCCGGAGCCCGGGCCGGGGCGGCACGTGGGCGCCGGCCCGGGAGGGAGGCGGTGCGCGCTTACCTGCCGCCGGGGCCGCTGCGGCGCGGGCTGTGGAGGGGGCACCGCGGCGGCCTGGCCGTGCCCTGCCCGCCGCCGCCGCCGCCGCCGCCGCTCGCTGCTGCTGCTGCTGCCGCCGCGGTCGGTGTCTCCGGCGGCGGCGGCGGCGGCGGGGCTTTTCCTGTCCGGTTACGTTAAGGTCACATGACCGAGGGAGCGGAGCGACTAGTGCAGAGGCTGCGAGCGGCTCCCGCCGGGGGGGAGGCGGCGAGCGCTGTGGCGGCAAGAGCCCCCGCCGCCCCCCTCCGCCGCCGCCCTCCCCCTCGCCCGCCTCCGCCTCCGCCTCCTGCAGCCCGGCCGCCGCCGCCGCCGCCTGCAGCCTGCAGCCTGCAGCGCCCGCTCCGCGCCGCGCCCGCCGGGCTCCGCGCTCCGCTCCGGCCAAACTTGTGCAGACCATGTGCAGCCGAGGCAGGAACTTCTGCCCGCGCCGCGGGGCCCGAGGCTGCGGTTCCCGGCCCAGGTCCACATGCAGGGGCTTAGGTAGGAGGGCCCGGGAGGGATGCTCTGGGGGAGGGATGATGGAGAGCTTCGGGTCGGGCCCCCTGCAGGCTCCCCGTGCTTGACATCTCTCTCGGCCTGCCCCTCCCTTGCTGACCCAAGTCTTGTCTTTAGGGTGAGGTGAGGTGGGGTGGACTCGAGGACCAGAGATGCCCTTGATCCGCAGGGGTACTGGGAAAGGGGAGGAGACATGCCAGTTGGTGTCGCATGTGGGGGCAGAGGTGCTAACGGACAGATAGATGTTAGCTGGGTGTCATCTAAGGCTTAGTTTGCCAGGATTTAACTTGTTTATTTCAGTCATTGAGTTTTGGCTTTTTTTGAAGCTGTTGGTCCAAAAGTATCAGCCTGCAAAGCTTGTTTGTTACTTATGAGCGGTTCACTCTCCTGTTGAGTTTGGTTTCTGGGGAGCTGTTGAGAGTGGATTCCAGAGCTGGCCATTCTGTAAAGGTCCGGAGATGCAAGAGGGCAGACAAGGGGACTTGCTAGTCTTTGTTAACATTTTAAAGTTCACCGCTGTGTTGTTGCCATTGCTAGAGTTTTTATATCTTTGGAAGCACCATGTAGTCCTTTGAGGACTGCATTCAATTACATGGATAGTATTTTGAAGTCTTAAAGGTGAATGCTGCTTGATGTTTAGGGGAGTGGAGGCAACAGTTTTCAGGATTCGTTGGTTTTTAAAGCATGCTATTTTGGTCATTGATTTGTTGTCCAACCCATTTAAAAAAAAAAAATATATATATATATATATATTGATTTTTGTAGAGAGGAAGGGAGAGAGAGTTAGAAACATCGATGAGAGAGAGTCATCGATCAGCTGCCTCTTGCACACCCTCTCCTGGAGATATGCCCGCAACCAAGGTACATGCCCTTGACCAGAATCGAACCCGATACCCTTCAATCCCCAAGCTGACGCTCTATCCATTGAGCCAAACCGGTCCCGGCATTGGTTTACATAGCCCAGTGCCCTGTCACTTAGTTCACAAATATTGAAGGCAAGCTTACTATATCTTGAGACAGCTAATTTAACATACAGAAGTGTCCCTTCTAAAACTGCGTTTGATTTAGTGACCCAGTTAGTTATACCGTGCTGCTGATGGCTGCTTCTTTCTGTGAAGACAGAACAGGCAGCTGATGGCTGTAGGGGTCCAAAAGCGGGTAATAGATTTAGTGCATACCTGCCTTGAACATCTCTTGTTCTTTGATCAGCTAGATAAATGACTTGCTGAGTGGTTAAATTCTGACCCTGATATAAGAATTTCTAGTGCACTATCACTAAAACATCAAAGTTGGCCTTCAGACTGACATGCCTGTTTCTTGGGTTGGCTCCCCAGTTGAGATCTGTTTCATCTTACCAGGAAACTAAAGTGATTTTGATTCGTAGAAAGTCATAGTTAAAGATCGTTGGGTTCTTACACCTTGACTCTGAACTTTCAAGTTTGTGATATGATGGAGTGCTTACATGGAGAGAGAACTGTTTTAAGAGAAACTAAAGAGAAATAGTGGGCAAAACTGCTGAAGCTGGGTTGGCTCAGTGGATAGAGTGTCGGCCTGCGGACTGAAGGGTCCCAGGTTTGATTTCGGTCAAATGTACCTTGGTTGTCGGCACATCCCCGGAGGGGGGTGAGGGTGTGCAGGAGGCTGCTGATCCATGTTTCTGATTGATGGTTCTGGCTCTCTGTTAAAAAAAAAAAAAAGTGGGCAAAACTAACTAATGCTCAAGTTTTAGAAGTAGAAACTTGCCTCTGTGTTTAGAGTCATTGGCGTTGAGTCAAAGAAACTATGCTTTTTTCTAAAAAATAGATTTTTATTGATTTCAGTGAAGAAGGTAGAGGAAGAAACATCAATGATGAGAATCATTGATCTGATGGGCTGCATCCAGTACACCCCACACTGGAGTTCAAGCCTGCAACCTGGGCATGTGCCCTGATCAGGAGTCAGACAGTGACTTCCTGGTTCGTAGGTCCATGCTCAACCATGGAGCCATGCCAGCTGGGCAAAGCGGCTTATTCTTAAAAGCAGTGAATAGTTTCTCAATACTACATTTATGTAATTGTATAAAAATAGACCCATGGGTTATTCCTGAAACTCAGTCTCATTCCTAGAGAAAGTGCTGTCAAGGACTGGCGTAGACTTTTCTTCAAGAGCTGCTATTTCTTAAATATTTTTATTGATTTCAGAGAACAGAAGGGAGAGAGAAACATCAGTGATGAGAGAATCATTGACCAGCTGCCTCCTGCACATCCCACACAGAATTGAGCCCACAACCTGGGCATGTACCCTGACGGAGAATGAACTGTGAACCTAATTCATAGGTCGATGCTCAACCACTGAGCCACGCCTGCTGGGTTGGAGCTGCTATTCTTGCATTTATAAATGGTCAGTTGTTTGGCTGCTAGTTCTCTCAAGGGAGAGGCATGCATTCTTACACTTTGTCGAGTATGCTAATTAGTTTGATTTTTAGTCACCATCAAGTCATAGCATTATAAGGGATGCTATACAGATTATATCTGCTTTCTACAACTTGAAGTAGAAATATTTAAATGGATGCATACGCAAAGGTTGGGGAGAAAACTTAGTTTTTGCAAGAAGGACTAGTGTCCAGGGAAAGCTATTAGTCTGGTTGTGGGAGAGCCACAAATAACCTGAATTAAGTAATAAGAAAAATAAGTTAAATTATCTGCTTAGTGTTTATGTGCTGATTTTGCATTTGGGAAATCCATTTGGCAGATTAGGAGTTAAAAAATAGTTCGACACATTTCCCAAGAAAATCACAGTGCAAGCAAATAAATGATCTGAGTGGATTCATCAAAAGTTGCTGTACACAAATACTCTCAAACTCTTGTAGTGCTGAAAGTTTTGACATGTTATGCTGGGGTACATGAGAAAAATAGGCGCTTGCTATGCCCTGAAGAAGATAGGACCCGTGAGTCTTGGACTGTGGGCAGAAAGCAAGTTAGTAATACTGTACTTGTTTTTATTTTTTTATTTTTATATTTTATTGATTTTGTATAGAGAGGAAGGAAGAGAGATAGAGAGTTAGAAACATTGATGAGAGTCATCGATCAGCTGCCTCTTGCACACCCCCTACTGGAGATGTGCCCGCAACCAGGGTACATGCCTTTGACCAGAATCGAACCCGGGATCCTTCAGTCCCCAAGCCGACGCTCTATCCATTGAGCCAAACCGGTCCCGGCTACTGTACTTGTTTTTCCCAGAAGTTTGTGTGTGTGTTCAGGTTGAAGATGGAATTTGCTTTAACGTTGTTTATTTAAGTAATATACTAATCTTCGTGGGTGTCTCCCAGAGCAGCGTTTTCACTACATAGTTTTATGGGTAACCTCTTAGGTTTGGACAGTGCCTTTCATGTTGTATATCAAGCTTAACATATGTCAGAAAATACATATTTTGAGAGTCTTATTGGTTTGGTTATGAAGTTATAGGAAATGCTCATTTTATAATTGGTTGTTGTTGAGACCATATTCCCTCAATAGTTCCTACACTTTAGGGAACATTTTGTCTTAAACCTAAGTGTAGGCTTGTGGGTTTCAAACTTTTCAGTTGTGATTCTAAGACATATGCCTTGTTAAAAGTACACAAATATATAAAATTGAAATAAAATTTTCAGGAACTAGTACTTGTTACTGGTTAGAAACTCAGCTATCTTTTCTAACTAGTTCGTTTATTTTTTTTAAAGCTGATTGTGGTGCCTTAAATTGATTTCATCAATCACAAATGGATCAGGGTGCAGAGTTTGAAGATTCCTTGTTTATCTCATACAGTTTCTATGGATCAGGAATCCGGGAGCAGCTTAGTTAGATGGTTCTGTGTCAGGGTCTTTGACGAGGTTACTTACAGTCGGCATGTTGACGGGGCCAGGGGATCTGCTTCTAAGGCGACCCACACTCCAGCAGGTTAATGCTCAAGTCTCAGTATTTCCCCATTGGACTCCTTGAGTGTAGTATCCTCACACTGTGGTGGTGCTTGGCTTCCCCAGAGAGAGAGACAAGAAAGAGCCAAGGAGGAAGCCGCACCATCACTGCCACATGCTGTTAGTTAAAAGCAAGTCACTGAGGTCAGCCTATGGCCATTGGAGCAGTATTAAGCTTAAAGGGGAGAAGAATCAAAGAATTTGGCATTTTAAATAACCAACAGTTCTATATTTTTCTTGTTTATGGATCAATTAAGGTTGAACTGAAAGCTTTGCTAAAATGTCAGTCTTTCAGTAATTACCGTGTTTAATCCATTTTTTTCTCTAAGGGCATCTAGTCTCATTCTCTCTTCAATCTTAGAGAGAAGAGAGAAAGCGGGCTCATTTATTGTAGAGGAAAAAAAGTTTTTATCTGACTTGTCATGAATAATCTATGCTAATAAAGATGAGAAAATTGGCTGATTTTTAAGAAATCTTTTCTAAAGAAGTTATAGTGTATAACTATTCTCTAGTCTTCCAGTTGGCAAGCTTTTACATGATAGTAGTTATACTTTCAACTTTTAACTCTACATTCGGCCCTTCAAGTCTGGATTCAACCTATCGAAAATAGTGTTTTGATCCATGGTTGAGAATACCCAGTTGAGAAACTGCTCTTGGGAATGTGAAATACTGTTTTCAATCCATGGGTGGTTGCATCTGGGGATGGCTGGCTTCTTTAGTTGATGTGAAGTGTGTGGATGCGAAGGGCCAACTATATTTATTGGGAAAAAATCAGCTTATAGATGGGCTGCGTGATTTAAAGTTATGTTGTTCGAGGATCACCTGTACTTATTAAAAGAATTGAAACTACTTATTGTTAGCTTCTGATGCTGTCTATACTGACCACAAGATTGTACTACTGTTGTAACCATAGCAATTAGCACATTTCCAGGACCTAAAAGATGTTATAACTTAAAGATATCAGGGTTTGAGTGTAAAGACAACTATACTACTTTCTGCTGTGAAATGTTCGTGGAAACAAGTGAAAAGGATTTAAGAGTAGTTTTGGCTTAATGGTACAAGGACCTGGAGGAGACCCTGACATTGGTAGTGTGAGTGAAGCTAGGATCAATTTTCTAATGCCTTCCTTGATTTTTT